TTGGGTGCATTTGCATGCCCACTGTAAGATCAGAGACAATTTATCCTTTTCTCTTTAGCATGGCGTCTTCCACCTATATACCGTCAGTCATTCCACACTTACTGGAAGTGATCCAAATCATCTGGACACTTAAAGCATCTGCTCATTTAGTTTACATACAAAATTCAGTTTTGATGTTTTATATGATGACTTATACAAATTAATTTTTAGCAGAAGTTCTAGCTTTTGCCTCACCTGCCACATTTTGGAAACTTCCTAATTCTCTTTGGTTTGGCAATTTTTTAATTTTTAAGAGCTGTTAAAAAACATTTATTAATTGTTTACTAATTTATTTAGTCAACAAACTTACATGGAACTGTCCTAGTGTAATGCAGAACATTATTTTGCCATTTAGGTAGTAGGGCCCTTTAAGCCATGGAAAGCAAAAGTTGGTGCTTCATCTTGCCCCAGACCTCTTTCCTCCTAAATCTAAACAATAGTGAAACGTACTCTTGCATAGCTCAGCACAGCCTGTACCTCCAACACATATGGATAATAAAGCTTGCAATGTAATTGCGTTAGATAATTATGTTTATACCAGAGACCAGGACACCTGGTCTGCTTTGTGTGATCTCTGACCCGTAATAATGGGGTGCTTGGGTGCTTGTACTTGTACTTGTGCCCCAATTTCTCCCTAGTCTCAGAAACACTGTCTCTAACAACCACTCCCCAGCCCAAGGACACTGTGCCTAGCAGTTATTCATGCATGGGCCTCAGCATGACTCTTATCTCTCTCCCTGGTACAGCTACACAGAGCTGGGCTGCTCAGGCCCCAGCCCTCAGATCATGTCTCTGGAAGCCTCCCAATTCCTCAGTAAGTTCCTGTGTTGTGAGAAAGCTTTCCCTTGTTGCAGAGCATTCTTTCATCAAGACAGAGGGAGAGGGGTGTCCTTGGCCAGCCCAAGGACTCTTCCTCCTACCAGACTCCAAAGATCCATCCCCCTCCCTGTCCGGTATACTCCCTGTACTTTCCCATCCATAGCCCCCAAAGACACCTGCACCATCAGTGTTCCTGGCATCTCTTTCCCATGTTCTTTTCCATATAAACCCTAGCTCGACCTCTGATCAGGGCTGCTTGATTTGGATGTGCATACCCCTGGCAGCCGAGCACTAATAAATCCACATCTTAAATTATGTCTGGGTTTCACTCGCTGATTTCTCGGTACAACACTAGGTGTTAGGAGTACAAGAATAAAATGAAACGATCCCTGATCTCAAGGAACTCAGTCTAGTATGAGATACATACAAATGTATGTACACATATATATGCACATGTATAACTATGCAAATAACTGTAAAGGTTGGATCTGTAGTCAGGAAGACCTGAGTTCAAATCCTGCCTCTGATACTTAATAGCTGTAGACTTAGGGCAAGTCACAGCCTCTGTCTGCTTCAGTTTCCTCATCTATACAATGGGGATAATAATAGCACCTACCTCTCAAGGATGTGAGAATCAAGTGAAATAATGTTTGTAAAGTACTTTGCAAACCTTAAAACATTATATAAGTGCTAGCTACTGTTATTATTATTGATAGCACTGGTATTAATAATAATAATAGAAATCAGAATATATTAAATACAAAAAAATCTAAACACAATATTACGAGTCTATAAATTTCTTAGAAAGGATTTTGATGATTTCCCTTCCCTCATATACACATACGCTTCTCAAGTATTTGTTTTGGTTTTGAATCTGTGGTCTGCATTTTTCTTGGCCTTCCAAGAAGTGGTTTGAAAACAATCTTCAAGTTTCCTTAGGGTCTCTCTCTTTTTTGTTTTTGGCTAGGCAATGAGGTTAAGTGACTTGCCCAGGGTCACACAGCTAATAAATGTCAAGTGTCTGAGGCCGGATTTGAACCCAGGTCCCCTTGGTTCCAGGGCCAGTGCTCTATCCACTGTACCACCTAGCTGCCCCTTACCACTCTCTTTTTTAATGCCTCCATTTCTTATGGTTTTTTTTTTTTTAAATCAAGGAACTCCATGATGATCCATCCTCCCTCTGAATTGTCATGATGGTCTGGCATAGTGGCAGGTTGTGCTAAATGTAGAGTCAGAGTATCAGGGTTCCAATTCCAGCTCTGCCACTAATTACCTGTGTCACCTTCAAGTCACCAAAGCTCTCTGGACTTCTGTTTCCTCACTTTTAAAAATAGAGAGTTGGAATAGGTACCTCTAAATTGACGGCCCTCTGATTTCCCATAGCAATCTGTACCTCTGTTACTGTAGCTTATTCTGAGCCGTATTCTGGTCCTCTGTTAATTGCAAATAAGCAAACACAAGAAAGAAACCCTTCTTGCCTTCAAGAAGCTTACATTCTATTGCATATTATGAAATATTACATATTTGTGTATATCACATCATTTCTGTAAGATTATATATGCCAAAAGAGCAGGAACTCTCAATTATCTCTCTTTCCCAGTGCTTCAATGACAACTTCAGACATTGTAGGTGACTAATAAGCAGTTGTTGAATGAAGGAATGAATTAGTGGTGTTTCTTTTGGTTTGAATCTCACTTTCTGAAACAATGAATTTAGTTGTATTGTGGTCATTCATATACAGTGATTCCTCTACTCATTATATCACTATGCTCACTCCTCAATTCCAGAAGTACTTATTAAGTTCTAGGTACTATGATAAGTGCTGAACTCAGGTGTAGTTTCAGGATATTTCTTCTTCTTTTAGAATTTCTGGATTCTAAAGCTACCAAGAGGCAGCCTGGGAAGTCCTAGTTAGCAATTGCTTGTCTTGTTCCAAATTATACCTCATTCCAGTAGCCTTAACTTGGCTTAAGACTTCTCATAAACTGATCTCAGCCTACAATTTAAATCTGACTGTTCTCTTATATGAGCTCTCTGATATATGAAGATAATTTTCTTAGCAATTTGGAGTCCCAATCCCACCTGCTTGCTTTTTAGAATTTTATAGCTTGTAAGGACCTTAGAGGTTACCTAGTCAACTCAATTCCAATTCAATTCAACAATTTAAAAATGCTTACTCTGTTTCAGGCACTGTATGAGATGCTTGGGATACAAAGACAATTTTTTTTTCAAAAGACCTACCCTCAAAAACATTGCATTCCAATCGGAGGCCTAGGGAGATCAGCGGGTTCCCAAATAAGTATAATGCAAGGTGGGCAGTGAATGGGGATGATGGAAAGATCAGTCAAAGGGTTCCGGGAATATTTAAGGAGGAAGAAGGCAATACAGAGTTGGTAGGGGCCCTGAAAATGATATTTTTTCTTATTTTATGGATCAGGGCCTTTAAGTCCAGGATGATTAGGCCACACAAATAATATCAGAGCTAGCCTTCCTGTAGAGACTGTATTGTGATACTCTGGAGAAAGTAAGGCTGGTGACTTTGCCCAGCCCTCCCTCACTTAAATCCAACTCGTTTGCACATCATGGCATCACCTCCCTGACGTCATGGGCCTCTTTGAGAACGAAGGACAAACAACAACAACCTTTTGGACTGCACAGGTGTGAGGTTCTATGGTCAATTTCCTTCACTCCTGATTTGCTTGGACTTCCATTTGGAAGAAGACCATGTGTGGACTGCAGCCTCTTCGCAGGGGCTTTTGATGGAAGAGTCTGGAATTAATGTCTGCTTCAAGAAATCTTTGCTTTATTTTGTAGCCATGTGGAGGCCTGTCAACTGAGAGCTGGATGAAGGCCACCCTCTGAGACAGGAAGGCATTGAATCACTGTCAGAATGGCAAAGATCAGTGATAGTGGTGATAATAATAATATTAACTCAAGAATTGAGTTACTTTCATTGTAAAGCCCCATGGTGCCTCTAGTTAAACCTCTAAAACATTATGTCCCCTGCTTTGACTTTTTTTCTGTGACCATATTTTTCACTGACCCTTACAAACCACCTGTTCTCTCTCTCAGAAGTGATGCCAATTTGCCTAATCACAAAAAGCACTTTTGTGAAATGTGATTTTTTTCCTTAGTTATTAAGGAAAATTACTTTGTGAAATGGCTGTTGCAAAAGCTATTAGTTTTAGAGCCACAGTTAACCAATGAACCTAATTTGGACTGAAGATTTTGAAACTTTTGCCATCTATAACAAAGTTGGAGAGACTAAATAACAAGCATTTATATGTTAATTAAAGGTTAGCAAAATGTTTTTCTCATAGCAACCATGTTGGATAAATAGTGTGAATATTATTATCCTCACTTTATAATTAGGAAAGAGACTTGGAGTGGTTGACTTGGCCAAGATCACGAAGCTGGACGAGAGCCTCGCTCTTCCAAGTGGTGTAGTGGAAAGCTTTGGAGTTAAAGGATCTGAGTTAAATACTGACTCTATTACTTAATACCTGTTTGACCTCTGGTAAATCACCTCCCTTTACTAGTACGGTTCAGCACCTTTTTTTCAATTTAGTCATTTTTTGTGTGTGGGTGTGAGGCAATCAGGGTTAAGTGACTTGCCCAGGGTCACACAGCTAGTGAGTATCGTGTGTCTGAGGCTGGATTTGAACTCAGGTCCTCCTGACTCCAGGGCCAATGCTCTATCTACTGTACCATGTAGCTGCCCCTATTTTCTTTTTTCCTTTTTTTTTTCCAACTTAGTCCTAAGAGTGACTGAATCAGGGGGCAGCTAGGTGGTAAATATTTATTTGTAAAGGACCTGGCACATAGTAGGTGCTTACTAAATGCTTCTTTCCTACCCTATGACCTTGGGCAAGGCTCTTTATACCTCTAGACCTTCGTTTCCTAACAGGAATAACACCAGGGTTGTGAAGAACAGATGGTAAAGTGGAGTTGGAAGTTACTATTCAATTTTGCCATCAGTAAGGTGTGACTTAACAGAAACAATTTCCTCTTGATCTCTTTACTTCTCTTTGCTCATATTCTGGTTTTAATTTTTCTGCAGCCAGGAATAAGAAAGGCAGGATGAGTAAGTAAAATCACCCCTTCTTGAGGCTGCTGTCTTATGGTAGCTGTTTCTATTTCAGAGGCAAACCCAATCTGCTGGATATGGGATCCCTGCTCATCAAGCCTGTTCAGCGGGTGATGAAGTATCCTTTACTGCTCTGTGAACTGCGGAACGCCACTCCTCCTTCACACCCAGATTACAGAGAACTAGAGGATGCCTTAGCTGCCGTGAAAGACATTAATGTGAACATCAACGAACTTAAGAGGAGGAAAGATTTGGGTAGGAAAGAGAGTTATTTTCTCTTGATTGTAGCACAGTCGCTATTATCTTAGGCTACCATGCTCTGTGGCTCAAATCCTATGGGCACCATTGTTGGAAGCCAGTGTAAAGTCGTGGGACCGGAGAGAAGGGATGGTTTTTGTCATGCTCACCAATGGACAGCAAGGGCAGGGGGTACCCAGGTGAGTGACACCGTGAGGGCCTCTTCCTGGGCTGTGCTGCCACACTATGAAACAATTTTCCCTTGATATCATGAAGCCTATTAACTCATGGTGACCATGTCACTAAAAACTTGTAGAGGGTGTGTGTGTGTGTGTGTGTGTGTGTGTGTGAGAGAGAGAGAGAGAGAGACAGACAGACAGACAGACAGACACAGACAGACACAGACACAGACACAGAGTCAGAGAAAAACAGAGAGATAGAGACAGACACAGAGAGTCAGAAACAGAGAAACAAAAAGAGAGAAAGAGGAAATATGGGAAAAAAGAGTAAGGAAAAGGGGGAAGGGGGAAGAGAGGGGAAGAAGAAGGATGAAAGAAGCATAGAGGGTAGAGAAATGGGAGGAAGTGAAAGAAACGAATGGTTATGGCCAGATCATTTGCAGCAGTGGGAGCCCAGGACAGTCAGGAGAATAAAGGAAGCTGGATCATGGGGGAAGGGAGACTCCCTCAAGTACAGCTGATTGAATTTTTTTAAACAAGAAATATTACATTGAAGGGATCAACTATAATAGTGCAGGCTACAAAGTAAGAGAAATAATCATAGAGTTCTATATGAGTTCCATAGATCACAGCATCTAAGAATCATATCTAACCTTAAGCATAGGCACAATATGTAACCACCTCCCTGGTATGATTTGAGGGGTGCCAAAAGTTCTATTTGGCCTTTCAACATTGACATCAATTAGTTGACCAGAATTGCTAGTTGATCTTCAGCACTGAAGAAGTGCGTTTTGAAATTTAAAGGAAAGGCACAAGAGGATGGAAAGTCCTGGGTTGGGTGGGGCCAGTATGGAGGCACATGGAAGGATGGGTGGGTGAGGAACTAGGATGGGTTCCAAGGAACAAAGTTGGGAAGAGAAGAGACTCAAAAGAGAAAGGTTTCCCATGTTACCACTCATGCATTGATTCAACAAGCGTTCATGTTGCCAGGCACTGGGCTAGATGATACAGAATACAGAGCAGAACAAAATAGTCCCTCCTCTCAAGAAGCTTATATTTCATTAGGGAAAACAACATGTACATGACAAGTAAATGAGGAATACACACAAAGGAAATGTAAAGTGGTTTCAGTTGGGACACAAGAGTGCTAACAACTTGGGGAAATCAGGAAAGGCCTCTTGGAGGTGGTGGCACTTGAGTCTTGAAGTTAGCTAGGGATTTTGAGGGGGCAGAGTAGAGGAGACAGCGGGGTGAAATGTCTCATGGGGGAGCAGTAAGTAGCTCAGTTTACCATCTTGCTGAGGTCTGGGCCTTCTTTGAACCACATGGCTATGTGTATAGCCTGAACTAGAGGGCCTCTGAGGTCCCTTTCAATTCAGAGAGTCTGTGATTCCTTTATTTTCATGTTATTTTACCTAATTCTCTTTTGAAACCTCAATGGAGAGTGGGCACACGCATTCCTTATGTGCATCTGAACATCTCAGTGGGTTCTTCTCTTGCAGTTCTGAAATACAAGAAGAATGATGAAGACGAATCCCTCAAAGACAAGTTTTCCAAACTGAATATCCATTCAATTAGCAAGAAATCCAAAAGGGTGACTAATCATCTGAAGATTTTGACCAGAGGAGAATCTCAGGTAGTCATTTTTCTTATGTTAGAGAAGTTTTCCCTTCCTGAGTTGGTTCTTATTAATCAGATCCGTCCCTACCGTACTGGGAATGAATGTGATATGTTACCCAAGCGGCCTCATATTTTCAGAGGCCCTAAAGTGCTGGCATTGCACGCACACACCCACATACACCCCATTTGGTAATAACCTTCCCTTTTAGACCTCACTTAGCATTTCATTTGGTAACCCTTTAATGCAGAGGTGTCCAACAATCCCAGCCTGCCCCCAACACTCCTGAGTGCTGCTGGAAGCAGATTAAAATGTTTAACAAAATAAATGAAAATACAAAAAATATAGACAATGTTAATATATGGTTTTCTAAGTCAATATGTGGCCCTGGTGATCTTTATGTATGGTTTAATGGTCCCCATTTGTATTTGAATTTGACCTTGCTGCCTTAATGTACATGATTATTGTAAGGAAAGCGTGTCCAAAGAAATACGATAATAATTCATAGTAATAATAGGCATGGGGTAGAGACTGGACGTCTTTGGTAAAGGGAGCTAAATGATGAGTAAACTTTCTGTACCAGTGTAGGTCATCACTTTCCCAGCAACTTAGAGTCTTAGAAAGTAGCCTAGACCAAGAGGTTAATTGACTTGTCCAAGGTTCCAATAGCCAGTATGTGTCAGAGACAGGACTTAAATCCATGTCTTCCTTCAAGAAGGCCTCCAAGGACCACTCTCCATCCACTATGTTATGCTGCCTATCAAATTAATAATGATGATGATGATGATGATGATGATAATGTAACAGTTATATAGTGTTCCAAGATTGGCCATGTGCTTTATACATTTTATCTCATTTGATATGTGTTATGATTATTACTATCTATATTGGTATCTTATCTTTCTACTAGATAGTAACTTTCTTTAGGAATTGCCTTATGTAAACTTTGTAGCTCTCCCAACACTTAGCAGAGTGCTCTGGATACAGTAAGTAGTTGATAAATGTTTATTGTATTGCATTGTATGTCTCAGACTAGGTGAGTCACCTAAGCCTCAGTTTCCTCATCTGTAAAATGAAGGGTTTAGACTAAATGACTTCTAAGTTCCCTTCTAGCTCTAAATAATGAAAAATTATCCACTTTCAGTCCATAAAGGAATGGTGAGGATGAAGGATGAGAACTAGAAAAGACAGTAACTCTACCAGTTGGTAGCAAAAATGTCCCAAGGTACACATGTTGATGATGTCCACATTAATGCATTCCTTGAACCAAAAAATTGGGACTTGTGATCTGACAAAGGATACTCCTTTATTCCCCCATAGATTTAGAGCTAGAAATAGTCTTAGGGTCATTTAGTCCAATCCTCTCATTTTATAGAGATGTAAACAGTAACCCACAGACAGTTAGGTCAGGAAGACCTGAGTTCATATCCAGACTCAGACACTTAGCTGTGTGACCCTGAGCCAGTCATTTAACCTTGGTCTGTCTGCCTTAATTTTCTCAACTATAAAATGGGGTTAATAATAGCATCTACTTCACAGGTTTTTTATAAGGATAAAATGAGATATTTGTAAAATGCCTAACACAGATTAGGTGCTTAATATATGCTTGTTTCCTTCCCACAGTCAGTGAAGATATGAGGCTGACAGAGGATTTGAATGAATTCAGGTCCTCTAGCTACCAATTCAGTAATCTTTATACTGCCCCTTCTCTCCTGTTTTTCTTGAAACTGGGACCATCCTAACAAATATAGAACTTGTGGCTGCCATATATCTGTTCTTTGCCAAAGTGAATCCTCCTTTCCTTCCCATATTCCTTACTCAGACTATGTGTTTACCCTGTGGGGGCTTCTTTTCCCAGCTCAAAGCTATATTTGATATTCCATCCTGTGTGATACTTATCTACATCCTCCCACAAATCCTGAATGGGGTCCCCAAAGAACTAAGGGCCTTCTTTTAGCTCTCTTGGCTTTGAGCAAAAAAAGCACACGGGCTATCAGTCTGTTATTTTTCTTGTAGGAGACAAAAAAAGCTAATGTGTTTTAAGTTGCATTAAGAAAAACCTAGTGTCTTGGTGTCCTGGACTTGGGAGGTGATAGATTGTCCACATGCGTTCTGCTGTGGTCAGGGACCATCTAGAATAGGAGTGGGGAACCTGTGGCCTTGAGGTGTGACCCTCTAGGTCCTCAAGTGCAGCCCTTTGACTGAATCCAAACCTCATAGAACAAATCCCCTTAATAAAAGGATTTGCTCTGTAAAACATAGACTCAGTCAAAAGGCTGCACCCAAAGACCTAGAAGGCCGCAGGTTCTCCACTCCTGATCTAGAATAAGACACTGTATTCTAGTTGCCATATTTAAAGAGGAACATTGATAAGCTGGAGATTGTGCATAGGAAGTGCCCAGGACAGGGAAAGACCTCAGGGTCATGTCCCGCAAAGATCAGTTGAAGGAACTGGAGATTTTTAGTCTACAAAAGAGAAGGGATGGCATCAGATCATGATAGTGGTCTTCAGTTATGCTGAAAGGTTGTCTCATTCAGGAGAGATTTTCATTTGTTGTTTTTGGCCAAGAAGGTAGAAGAAATAAGACATTGAAAGCTGTCAAGTGAAAAATTTAGGTCAAATCAAGTCAAGAAGTAGACAAGTAATTATTAAGCTCCAACTATGTGCCAGGCATTTTGCTCAACACTGGCTATAAATACAAAGAAAAGCAAGGCAAAAATTGTCCCTACTCTGGAAAAGCTCACGTTCTAATGGGAGGAGGCAACATGCAAACACCTTTCTAAATCCAAGATAGGTACTAGCTCAATTGGAGCCAATCTCAGAGGGAAGGCACTAGCATTAGAGGAATCAGGAGAGGTTTCTCACAGGAGGTAAAGAAAATTTTCCCATTAGAGATACCCCTAGGTGGAATGGGTTTCCTTGATAAGGAGATGATTCACCTGCATTAGAGGTCTCCAAGCCAAGTCTAGACGACCACTTACTTGTTGGGGATGTTATAAAGGGGTCCCTTGTTAGTTATAGGCTGGACTCTTGGGTTCCTTCCAACATTGAGTCTGTGAAGCCACAATTTTAGAGCAATTTCATCAGTATAAAAAGATTTAGGGAGAAAAGGGAGGCTCTTGGGGTGGTTTCTCCTGGGAGCAGCCCTGTTTATTCAGTTAACCAATGATTAAGGAGATAACATAATTCCATTTGCTTTTCTTTGGTATGAACCACCAACCTTGCAGCATTGGTATGGTGTTCAATCCTTTCGTGTCCGACTCTTTATGACCCCATTTGGGGGTTTTCTTGGCAAAGATACTGGAGTGGTTTACCATTTCCTTCTCTAACTCATTTTATGAATGAGGAAACTGAGGCAAACAGTGTGACTTGCTCAGGGTCACACAGCTGGTATGTATCTGAGGCCAGATTTTGCTGCTCCCACAAAGTGGGCAAGACATCAGGAAAGGAGACGAGGCTCCAATCAGCAGCTCTCACAAAAAGGCTATTAGTCGAAGCCATCACCTACAGTGAGAACATGGGCTATATTTCACCTGCCCATGCCCCAGCCAGAATGTGACAGTGGTGGGATTAGAACTCAGTACTTCCTGCCTCTTAGGCAGATTCTTTATCTATGCAACCACTCTGTGTGAAGGGTTAGCCTCAGAGCTAAAAAGCCTACCCTCTGACATAGACTGGATATGCAACCAGGAAGAAATTACTTAGCCTCTTAGTATCCCGGGCTACCCTTCTTAAAACTGTAGGTTATAGACAAATTGTTGCTCTACATTAGTTTAGGAAGTTTTCACACTGGGAGATCCCCTACACCACTGAAAATACAAATTTAACTCCTGATTTACTCCTTCCTCCCCCCTCCCAAAAAAAACCCTTAGCATTTTGTAGGTACCCAAGAAATACTTCTCTTTATTCATAATAATAACAAATGATTGGTACTAAAAATTACTATGTTAAACTAGATAACTCTTAAAGTCCTTCTAGTTCTAAACCTATGTTCCTGCAGACTCCAAGAATCCATGATATCATCAGTGTGTGTGTTATCCCCGTCAACTCACGAAACAACCTGTTTATAACTTAGAAAGTCCTTGTGAGTTGCTGTGGCCAAAAAACTCATCACCTTATGGCCAATCCAGAGATAAGCCCCTCCAGACTTAGCTAGGCTGGTTCTGGAACAATATTAATAATAAAAACTCATATGTTAAAGTTTGCAAAGCACTTTACAGATTTCTCACTTTATCCTCACAATAACCCTGGAAGGTAGATGCTGTCATTATCTCCATTTTACACATGAGGAAACTGAGACAGACAATGGTTAAGTGACTTACCCAAGGTCATGTATTAGTAAGTGTCTGAGACTGGATCTGAATATTTATCTTGCTGACTCCAGGCCCGGTGCTCTACCCAGCTGCCCGGATGACAGATGGCCAATATAGTTCATTACTGGCCTCACAGAGGCAGCTATGGTGTAGTGAGAAACAATTCTGGATTTGGAATCAGTAGATCACAAATATATAATGAAGAAAAATACAGTTGTTCCTAGGCACATCTAAAACATGGCAACAAAATATCTGAGCCTATGATGATAGGGTTGAGCCAACAGCCAAACTCACTTTCCTTAGGTGATCTACCAGTCCTGCAAAATGAGCTGCTAAAGGAATTAACACTTAGCTCTATAAGTACAAACCCAGGGATGTTCTGGAAAAAACCTTTGCATGCTCTACTAGAATAGAGTGACAGATCAATAAATCCCAACCAATAATGTGCCCACTGGCAAACTTTTGAGCAGGGCAGGCTAAACTATTAGACAGCTCTGGACCAAATTAACAGAAAATAAGAAAAGTGACGAATAGCATGTGCCTATTTAAAGATTAGTTCAGCACATGTTTTACCACTGGGGCAATTGCACATATGGTAATTGAACATCAATCATATTTTGGTGACAGTGATAGCAGTGTCTCTAGACACTCAGAGCTGTGACTATGGTGGAGTGCCTTGAACCTTGCCACAGATCTGAAAGTCCACTAGCAAGAGTGGCATATGCTTCTTTTTGTGGTCCTTTTCAGTCTTCTGATCCCACACATAGCAGTCTTCCGCAAACCATGTTGCATGGCATCCTTTTCTCACCCAGCCACTACAGCCCTTAACCCCTACCCTCATACTGAGGGTTTCTTGTCATGATAGCACCTGTCCTGGGTGAACTGTCTCTATGCCCTGCCTCGCTCCTGTTCAACTCAACTTACCCCGGGGACCCACATTCCCAGTCATCACTCTGTCCACACTGGTTAACATCACCAGGAGATTTCTTTTATGCCAGAAAAAGTCAAAATAATGAAAATATATTTTAGGTGAAAGACAGCACTTTTAACAGAGAAGAAAAACTGTTTAGACATTTAGAAAAGACTGTGAGGAATTGTGTGAAGAACATTTCATTCTGCCTTCAACACATCCAGGTGGGTACTTCACAGTTATTTCCAATGTTTCCATGATGGTGCCCTTCCCCTTTGGTTGGCATCATATGACAGTGTTGGCTGTATGGTCACCTATGTGATGCCATTGACCCTGTGAGATCTGAGGAACAGACTAATTATCTAAGACTTTCAGCTATGGGATTGCCAGTCTGAAAAAAATGCCTTTTTTATGATGGTGGACATTCTAAAGGATGCTGAAAATCTACAATATCACTGAGAGTAATTAGGAATGTACATAGAAAATTCATATAATTTCAGTGATATCAATCAGTAAAAAGCTGATTAAAAATTTGTATAATACCTTATATATAGTCATACATACATAGAGTCAATCCTTAACTTTCACAGGGGCAATGTTCCTAGAAAATGGCACAAAAGTCATAAACACCAATGTTCATACATTGAATCTATGGGAAATAGGGAGTTAGGTTACCACAACCACCAAAATTTCAATCTTTTGCTACAGATTGCTGAAAATACACTTTTCTGCATACAATTCTTTATAACAAAGCATTAATTCTGATAATAAGCACTTTTCCCAATATAGTAACCATGAAATAACCCATAAAATGCAATACACAAAATAACATTGGTAACATACAAAACATTTTTTCTTGCTGGCAATTCCTTAGAATTTTGTTTTGTGCTAACATCTCGATAAAAATGAACAAAACTGATTTCAGAGAATATTCACTTTTATAACACAGGCCACCTACAGTACCATAAATACTGAATAGCAAATAAAATTCTTAAAATGAAAACATTTTTTAACCTGAATCTTACCACCCACTGTGTCAGATGGCAGTGTGAGGTCATTGTACTGTATACTATATTGCTATAAACATCTCTACCTTGGCCACCCTCTGAAAATCAAAGGAGAGGTTGCTGGGATTTTAGTTGCCGGTGTTGGAAGAGGCTGAGACTGGCAAGGGCTCAACGTCACCTCTAACACTGTCTGGAGATCATGAAGGATGCATCAGCCTGAAATAGTCAGCCACATCTGCTTCATGTGTGGCTTGAGAATCCTTAAGGGTCTCCTGGCCAACAGTGACTGCAGACATCCTGGCATGAAGTTTATCTGACACCTTTATTTTCTCACTAAGCCACGGGCTTTGAACATATATGTGTATATATGTATGATACACACACATGTTAATTTTTAACATTTATATATGTCAGGCACTGGTACAATTTACAATTTATTTACAATTATTATCTCATTTGATTCTCACAACAACCCTGGGGGTTTCTCTCTATATACCTCTGGAGATGAGTCAAAGGAAACTAGAGATTCCTAGATGTGAAGATGAGGAGGGAATGCATTCCAGGTGTTGGGGACAGCTGGTACAAAGCTGATATGAAATTGTGATTGGGAAAAATGAATGAGAAAATATTGGATGGAAGAAAGATAGTGAGAGGGGACAGGAAGTTAAGAAAACATAGAAATGACAGCCATAAGACATTTGGCATATGGAATATAGGTGTGGGTAGAATTGGTTCTCAGTAGTTATGGAGGCATTTTGCTTGGGTTACAATGAAATCTGTCTTTGTGAAACATTGAATGATAATGACTGGAGGACTTAACACATTGTCAGCTTTTCTTCTTTGTGTTTTAGGATGCCATGCCCTTAGCTGCCCAGACTGTGACAGAGCTGCATGTTATTTCATATGACAAAGATGCTAAGGGCAGTGACTATTCAGCTACCCTGAGCAAGGGCCCAAACCCCTGTGAAGACTTTGTAAGTTCTTCAAACCCATGGATAAATGAAAGTTATGGTGTCAGGTTAAAAGAGTATATTTCTTTATTACTTAAGCGTGAACCTTTCAACTGTAATTCACATCAAAACTGTGGGTTAGGGAAAATATAGAAGTCAAGATATCAGGAGATTTTCTGAAGGACCCAGTTAAATCATCAAAGTTTTAGAAGTGGATTAGTGAGGTTTTTTTTTTAACTGTAATGTGAATTCAGGAGAAACCCAGACTGTGTTCTTGGCAGAGGTCTCCTGACTTAAGTCAAAATTTGGCTTTTTTCTCCATCTTGCAAAGATTTGTTTCAAAGCAGCCTTACAAGGATTTATTATTTCCATGACTCTTCTAGAAGAGTTTATAGATAGTACTCACATTGAGTTTACATTAAAATAGAAGAAAATCACATAATCTTTTATGGTATACTCTTTTAACAGCGGTTAATGGTGGACTGTCATGGTGACATATGACTATAATCCCTGTTACTGGGGGGTTGGGGGGGCACTGAGGCCAGTAGAATACTAAAGCTCAAGACCAGTGAGCTACAGTAGGTCTGAAACTGATTAGGTGTCCATACTAAGTCCACCACAATATGGAAAGCCCTTGGGAGCAGGGGACCACCACCATGCTGCCTGAGAAAGGTCAGAAACAGAGCAGGTCAGAGCTTCCATGCTTAACAGCAATGGGATTGGACCTATGGGCAAACGTGAGCAAAATAGAGACCCAGTTAAAAAAAAGAAGTTGGTAATTGTTTACATTAGTATATATGAATTTAATTAGATTCAAGGATTATTAAGCACCTTCTGTGACAGGTATTATAAAAACAAAGAGAAAAGTAATGCTGTCCTTGCCCTTGAGAAGGTTATACAGACTGCTGGAGGTGGGAGGGAATAACAGACAGATAAAAAAAGACAAAACATACTTAAAAAACCAAGAATGGAGTAACATGGTGGTGAGGGTGTGTGTGTGGGGGGAATGAGAGCCCAGCAATTGGGGGAATCAGAAAAGGCCACTTGTAAGAGGATGTACCAAGAGACAGAGGTAAGGAGGGATAAAATAGGGGAGAATAACCTATGCAAAGGAACAGAAACTGAAGATGGAATGTGGAGTATTGCGAACATAAAACAGACTAGTTTGAGTGGGATGTGGGGGGGTGGTGATGGTGAAATCAGTACATAATAGTTGACATTCATAAATTATATTAACGTTTGCAAAACATTTATTTGCATTATTTCATTCAATTCTCACAACAATATTGTGAGGGAGGAGCTATAATTACTCCCATTTTACAGATGAGGAAGTGGAGATTGAAAGAGCTGAAGTGACTTATCCTGGCTCACACATTTAGTGAGAGTCAGAGGTGTGATTCCAACCCAAGTATCTCCTGACTTCAAGTCCAGATGCCTTTCCCAACACAAAAACCTGTGTTACCTTGGATACCTTAGCAATTTTGCTAAGTTGAGAAAATATTTAGGTCATGAACTGAATTTAGATTTTAATTTACTTTTTAAATTTATGCTGAATATATATTTTAATTTAAGATAAAATAATAATTTTAATTTAATCCAAGTTTTAGCTACATTTAATTTTGATTTAATTTCATGTAGTTCTGTGAGTAATTTTGTTTACTGTTTGTTGGATTTATTTTTTTGATGGAGTCAACTGTTCTTTTTTTAAATTTTTTTTTTAATTTTTAGGCAATTGGGGTTAAGTGACTTACCCAGGGTCACACAACTAGTAAGTATCACATGTTTGGTCTGAGGCCACATTTGAACTCAGGTCCTTCTGATTTCAGGGCCAGTGCTCTATGTACCGCACCACCTAGCTGCCCCAGAGTCAACTATTCTAAAACTTACAGTCTTAGAACAGGGAGTTCTTGGGGCAGTTAGGTGGTGTGGTGGATAGAGCACCAGCCCTGGATTCAGGAGGACCTGAGTTCAAATCCGACCTCCAACACATAACACTTAGTAGCGGTGTGACCCTGGGCAAGTCACTTAACCCCATTGCCTAACCAAAAGAAAAAAAAAGAATATGGAGTTCTTAACATGGGAATCTATGTGCTTGGTTTTTTAATAAACTATTTTGATAACTGTAGTTCAATATAATTGGTTCCTTTCATAATTTTATGAATTTTATTTTATGCATTTAAAAGACATTATTTTTACAAAAAGTCCATAGGTTTTACTAGATTTCCAAAGGGGGTCCATAACATACAAGAAGGTTAATAACCTTACAGTATTGTTTTTGTTTTTTGCTAGGTAATGGGTCACATAGCTAGTAAGTGCCAAGTATCTGAGGCTAGATTTGAACTCAGGTCCTCCTGACTCCAGGGCCGGTGCTCTATCCACTGTGCTACCTAGCTGCCCCAATAACCTTAGAGTATTGCTTGAGAAATTGAGAGGCCATGTTACTTTCTCCAGGTCACAGGTAGGACAAGGTCAGAGGCAGGACTTGAGTAATGCAGTTTGCTCTGACTTGAAGACCAGATTTCTATCCATTCTGCCATGCTTCCTGTCTCGTATTTAGATTATATACCTTGCTACTTTAAAAGAGCATAATTGCATTGGTGTATGTGGACATCTCCTTCTCTGTCATAGATCGTACCCCTTTTATATTTCACAAATAAATTTAATCAGCCTATGCCCAATCTCCTGGCAATGAGTCCCTCTGAATCTCCTGAGATTGGTCCTTATATGACAAACATACAATTCATTAATAACCTGTATGTGAAGCCTGACCAGCTTGATAAGACCTACCATAGTGTCACTGGCATAGCTTACAAGAGCCCAAGGTCCCCAATACACCTTGATAAAACATGAAAAAAATACTGGCTACAGAGTCACAGGATATAGATTCAAATCCCGTTTCTGATGCTCTCTACTTGGGCATCACACTTTAACTGCCTGAGTTTCCTCAGTTGTAAAATAAGGTTGGACCAGATGGCATCTGAGGTGTCTTTCAGCTTGGATCTATGATCCTATGAATCAGATATTAGTGGGAGGTGTGTAATTTTTAAAAAAGTAATATTATTTTATCCTCTATTCTCCCCACTGGGGGAAAAATGAGGATCACACTGTCTTGGGCTTGAAGGTAGGAAGAAAAGGTCACTGTCATTCTCGAGCTCAGATTCTCTAGGATGGGCCAGGAGGCTGCCATGTAGAATAAAGAGAACCCTAGGCTTGGCACAGGAAAACATGAGCTCATATGTTTGCTCTTCCATTTCCTAGCTGTGTGACCTTGGACGTTCAGTTTTCTTCTCTTTCCTCAATTGTAAACCTCCATTTCTTCATCTATAAATGAGGAAAGCAATGTTTGCTTTATTTCCTACCACATAGGGGAAGAATTGAATGAGATAATCAGTATTTGGGATTGTAATGCTCTATATACAAGCACACAATTTATTATCTTAGAACAAAAATGTGAAGCAGAAGCAAAGAGCAGCAAAGCTCCCAAGGGCCTCTGAACCAGATTAAAATAGAATTGGGAAATGTTTAACAAAATATGTAACAATACAATACAGAACAGATAATGTTAATTTGTGGTTTTCTAAGTCAACCTGTGATCTGTGGGGATCATTTTTACTTGAGTTTGACACCACTTCCTTGAAGGATGTTTGAGGCACTATTTTTGGTCACACCTTCAATAGCAAAAGCTCTACAAGGCTTTTTATGCATAGGCCAATAGGCACCATCACATTCTGCAGAATTGCCCACAGGTTCACGTTTTCACTTCTCTTCTGCACGGCTTCAAACCTGTCCACTGGAAAGATCCATGCTACCAACAGCAAGATTAGATGCTTTCTCCCTGCCCTGCATGGTCATCAGTGAACCTAAAGTCCAATAATATACAACTACCTCACTGTATAAGAATAATAATTTTATATATTATATATAGGGATGTATGTGTGTGTAGATGAACAGATGGATGAAATGAAAGTGCATCTAGTAAATAGTATGGACTCTGCTTTCCTACAGATAAGGCCTTCGGATTCTTTCTTTGTCCCTGGTGCCTCTCTGTGATTATTAGGTGATGACTATAATGCAGCAAAGGAGGTGTCTAGGGTACCATCATTGATTTGATCCCAATTAGTTCCAACAGTAGGCCATTTCCCTATTTCCTAGTGTATCAGATGTTCATGTCTATAGGTCACTTGGAAGAGATAAGAAATGCTACTATAATTACATTATCTGTAAGCTCCAGACGATACACGAACACAGTAATTTATCTCAGACAAATTACATAAAATTTTCCCTTGGCCAAAGGACGCATTCCACTCCATGGAGATACATATTGATTATTTCTCATGCTAGTAATCAAATCTTAATCAACCTTGCCCATGTTGCTTGATGCCAATAAGAGATTGGTTTCCCCCTTTCCCACAGATTTTCTGAGAGTATCAGACAAAGCTAGCAGGAGCCATTAGAGATCATTAATGCGGCCAGCTGTGGCAGCTGCTGTTTCCCTGGGTTGTCTTCTGGATTAAAAAGAGATACCAGGTCACAGGTTATGATTAGATGGTGATGAACCTAGGTTCAAAGTTCAGAGGTGGAAGGGACCTCTGACACCATCAAGTCTCACCTTTTCATTTTACTGATAAGGACAGCCAGATCAAGGAGAACTGAATGATTTGCCTAGATGTCACAGACAGTAAAAGAGGAAGGTGAGATCTGACCTGAGAACCTCTAACTCCAGTTTCTTTCCATCAGATCACATTGCCTCTTTATACATATGTACTTGGGGGCAACCTCTGCCATGAAAGAGCCAAAGTGAATAAAAGCAGAGTGAGGGAGGCAGCATGCCAAATCCCAGATGCCCTTCAGAACACAAGTAGAAGAAAGGGGGTGGGAGAATATAGCCAATCTTAGAGCAGCAAGTCAGCAATAATGTTTGACTGTGCATCATGGAACGTGATGTAAAATGGCCTCAGGATAAATGCTCTTAACATTAACATGATCTTGCTATGGAGCCAAAAAGGAGTAGGAAAAGCCGGAGGGTCTTAATAGGCACTTATTTTGTGGTCAGTTTCTATTACAAACATTATCAGATATGACAAAAAAAAAAAAAGGAAAACACCTATGTCAAGATCTTCCCAGGGATGCTGTAGTCTTATGGGAGAGAGGATGTATGGGCAGTTTCATGACTCTGAAGTGTTTCCCAGTGTCACCAGGGTATAGAGAAAGAAGCAAGAGGCTTACTTTATGACTCACTCATTACTCCTCAGCTAGTAGCATTGAGAGGACAAAAGAGGGAAGTGGTATTTATGGAGACTGAGCAACAGTATGGAAGAGAAGAGGAGTTTGGGAAGGTGCAGAAATTAAGCTGCAGGTGCAGAAATAGCTGTGTGAGGGGGAGGGGGAAGAAAAAAGGAAAAGCTCTGCAGGAGAAGATTGGAAGTGTGGGAAGAGAGAATTTCAAAGACCAAAATCACAGCTCATGAAGAAATTGAGAAGAGGTGAAGGAAAGAAGGGAGAGGGGTGAGGTTCAATGGAGTAGCATTTCCTCCCATTTCTCTCTCTTCCTATTTTTTCCTTCAACTCCCCCCTTTCCCCCCTTTTCTAGGGGTTTAGGGTATTGGGAATGGTTTGTATTGGTATGGGAACTCATCGTTCCAATTACCTTTATCTCACATCTCATCTCACGTCAAGCCCTACATGAGAGGCTGTCAATCTTCTCATTATCAGTGCTATCCTGTCCCACCCCACCCCTTTTTCGTGTTTGCTGACTCCCTAGGAGCCTCTAGGGATCAGGCAAATCCACTGAGAGCGTAGCTGGGCACAGTAACTGGTTCTTATTCTCTCTGTAACGGGCCTATTTCCCCTTTGGCAGGTGGCTCACTTACACCGGCTGGTCCTGACCCCACTGTCGGCCCTGCAGTCCTTATTCCCGGGACCCCAGAAACTCATCCAGAAGCGCTTTGACAAGCTGCTGGACTACAACGGCCACCTGCAGCGGGCTGCGGGTGACGACTCAGACCTGGCCAGGAAGGACTACGAAGCTCTTAACGCCCAGCTCGTGGAGGAGCTCCAGGTGTTCAACCAAGCTGGTCGGCAGGTGCTGCTGAACTGTCTCTGCTGTTTCATCACCCTCCTCAGGGATCTGATGCTCATGGGCCTGAAGCCTTATTCCACAGGCATGCCAGTAAGCACATTCTTTCTGCTTGGGCTGGAAGCAGCGATTAGGAAGCATGCACCTGTGAAATAAAGCCGGCTGTTTGTTCCCTTATCCCCGCCCCTACCAAGAGCCTAAGGGTTTTTTTTTTAACCTTATCTCCCTTCCCTACAGGCAGCTAAAAGAGAGCTTCCTAGTTCATATTTGCTGTGACTCCCATTAGTATTTCCCTTGTAAATCTTTTCTCCAGATAGCAAGGGCATTGCCCAACCCAGCCACAAAGACACCCTACCTAACTGCCTGACGCGATCAGTATTTTCAATTTATCTTTTGTATTCTGTTCATGCATGGCAAGGCCTAAATGTTAAATCATAACTATTAAGCTATACATCCAAAAATACTATCTCAGTGCAATAACAGAGGCCAGATGAATGTCCAACCACTCTTTGTTAGGCTTTTGTCCTTCCCCCAAGGAGAAGAGCCTGAAATTGGGGGGTGGAAGTGGGGGTAAGGTACAGTCTATATTGGGGTGGTTTTTTTTCTCTTTGGTGGAATTAATTCTCAGTTCTTTATCCCATTAGAAAGATATGAGAGTGGGGTCAAGAGAGATCTGAGTTCAAACCCTGGCTCTGACACTTAGCTGTGTAACTAGGGGCAAGTAACTCAAACTCTCTGAGCCTTCATTTCCTTATCTATTAAACAGGGATAATTGCCCTACTCTCTTGGTGGGGGGCGGTGGGAGAGATACAAAACTTAAAGAGGACAGGATCTCTGTGGTCCATTAGATAGATCTTCACGATTACAAGATCTTGGAATCTATTTCCAAAAGACTGAGAGTAAGACCTCACTTTTCCTTAATGATCTCGGTCGTTATAAATCAATCCATGTTTTCCAGGGGCGGGGGCAAGCATTTCTCACTCAGCTGTACTTCTGGTCCCCCCCCACCAGGAAGCAAAAGACCCAGATTAGAAATGAACCCAAAATATTCAGAAAGGGGCTAAAGCTTCACATCCATTATTTTGACTTGAGCTTTTCTTAGAAATTTTTCCTACCTAAAACTAATTTCACTCTGTTTTTTTAGATAATCACATTTGTGGACTTTAGGAAAACTGAATCGGTGTATGCTAGCTGCCTTCTATGTAGGGGACAGGTATAGGAACGGAGGGAGGGAGGAAGGAAAGAAGGAAGGAGGGAAAGAAGGAAAGAATGAAGGAAGGAGGAGAAGAAGGAAGGAAGAAAGGAAAGAAGGAAGGAAACAGACATTTATTAAGCACCTAACATGTGCCTGACACTGTGCTGAGTACTTTACAAGTGTTATCTCAATTCATCCTCAGAATAACACTCTGAGATAGGCACTATTATTATCCCCATTTTACAGTTGAGAAAATCGAGGCAAACAGAGGTTAAGTGACTTGGTCACACAGCTAGCAATTTTCTAAGACTGGACTTGAACTCAGGTCTTCCTGACTCCAGGCCCAGCACGCCAAGTGAAAGTTAAGTAAAGGCAGGAGTAAAGTCAGTATGATGTAGCATGTACCAGAAGACGAGAGTTCAAGTTTTGTTTTGCATGCATCCTGGCTGTGCAGGTCACTTAACTTTTCACTGCCTCAGGCAATTCTCTAAGACAATACATTACAGAATAGTGGATAATTTACATTGGCACACAGAGTTTCCTTTCTGGCACTTCCTTATATCAGTGACATCACAGGTCTTGACCCCCAAAAACAGAGGAAGCAGGAGACCATGGCAGTCTATGATTAAAATCTCCCTAACACCTACTCCTTTATTTTATATTTAAAATTCACTTCGTATTCTTTCCCACCTATAATACATTCTGGCTGGGTGAATGTGCAAGTTCTTTAACCTCTAAGCAACTCTCTAAGTTGTATAGGAGGTGCTAACTTTATTAGTAAAGGGAGTTTGCTTCTCTGGGAGTTCCCTATATCAATGAAAATGCAGAAAATCCTGTCCCTACCCTAACTTACACAGCTGAGCAATTCAAAGTCAAACAGAAAACAAGGACACAGTTTTGACAAAACGAGTGAGTTGAATGCTTTATGACAAGGGTCTTAAACCTTCGGATGAGAAATGGAAGGCATCCATGCACCACCCATTTTCTTGGAGATTTCAGTGATAGGGGGTGGATGATCATTGTTTTCACTGGCTTCTAACTGAAATCTAGCATTTCCTTCTATTAGGATGTACGTAACCATTATTCGGTGCAGGGTCTATAGGCTTCACCAGCCTCTCAGAGGGGTCCATGACACACAGAAAAGGTTACGAATTTCTGCTTTGCAGAATATATTATGCGTCAGCTGAAGTGAAAAAAGCAGGGGTAGCATTCCTGATCTCAGACAAAGCAAAGGCAAAAATAGATCTAATTAAAAGAGATAAGGAAAGAAACTACATCCTGCTAAAAGGCACCACAGACAATGAAGTAATATCATTACTAAACATATATGCACCAAATGGTATAGCATCCAAATTCTTACAGGAGAAGTTCAGGGAGTTATAGTAAGAAATAGACAGCAAAACTATACTAGTGGGGGACCTGAACCTCCCCCTCTTGGCACTAGATAAGTCTAACCACAAAATAAACAAGAAAGAAGTTAAGGAGGTGAATAGAACATTAGAAAAGTTAGGTATGATAGGAGAAAACTGAATGGGGATAGAAAGGAATATACTTTTTTCTCAGCAGTACATGGCACATACACAAAAATTGACCATGTACTAGGGCATAAAAACCTCACAATCCAATGCAGAAAGGCAGAAATATTAAACGCATCCTTTTCAGATCATGATGCAATAAAAATTATATGTAATAAAGGGCCATGGAAAGATAGACTAAAAAATAATTGGAAACTAAATAATCTAATCCTAAAAAATGATTGGGTCAAACAACAAATCATAGAAACAATCAATAATTTCATTCAAGAGAATGACAATAATGAGACAACATACCAAAACCTATGGGATGCAGTGAAAGCAGTTCTTAGGGGAAGTTTTATATCTCTAAATGCTTACATAAATAAAATAGAAAAAGAGGAGATTAATGAATTGGGCATACAACTAAAAAAACTAGAAAAAGAACAAATTAAAAATCCTCAACTAAACACCAAATTAGAAATATTGAAAACCAAAGGAAAAATTAATAAAATTGAAATTAAGAAAACTATTGAACTAATAAATAAAACTAAGAGCTGGTTTTATGAAAAAACAATAAAATAGATAAGCCTTTGGTTAATTTAAATTAAAAAAAGAAAGAAGAAAACCAAATTACTAGTATCAAGAATGAAAAGGGCGAAGCTACCACCAAGGAAGAGGAAATTAAAACAATAATTAGGAATTATTTTGCCCAACTATATGCCAACAAATTTGACAATCTTAGTGAAATGGATACATATTTACAAAAATATAAATTGCCCAGATTAACAAGAGGAAGTAAAATACTTAAATAACCCCATCTCAGAAAAAAAATTGAACAAGCCATTGATGAACTCCCTAGGAAAAAATCTCCAGGGCCAGATGGATTTACATGTGAATTCTATCAAACATTTAAAGAACAATTAATTCCAATACTATATAGACTATTTGGGAAAATAGGTGAAGAAGGAGTCTTACCAAATTCTTTTTATGATACAAATATGGTGTTGATACCTAAACCAGGAAGAGTCAAAATAGAGAAAGAAAATTATAGACCAATTTCTCTAATGAATATAGATGCAAAAATTTTAAACAAAATACTAGCAAGTAGATTGCAGCAACTTATCACAAGAATAATACACTATGACCAGGTAGGATTTATACCAGGAATGCAGGGTTGGTTCAATATTAGGAAAACTATCAGCATCATTGAGCATATCAACAACAAAACCAACAGAAACCACATGATCATCTCAATAGATGCAGAAAAAGCTTTTGATAAAATACAACACCCATTCCTATTAAAAACACTAGAAAGCATAGGTATAAATGGAGTCTTCCTTAAAATAATAAATAGCATTATCTAAAACCTTCAGCAAGCATTATATGTAATGGGGACAGGCTAGAAGCATTTCCAATAAGATCGGGGTGAAACAAGGATGTCCATTATCACCACTGTTATTCAATATTGTACTGGAAACCTTAGCTTTAGCAATAAGAGAAGAAAAAGAAATTGAAGGCATTAGAATAGGCAAAGAAGAAACAAAGCTATCACTCTTTGCAGATGACATGATGATATACTTAGAGAATCCTAGAGAATCAAGTAAAAAACTACTTGAAATAATAAACAACTTTAGCAAAGTTGCAGGCTATAAAATAAACCCACATAAATCATCAGCATTTCTATATATTACCAACAAAGCCCAACAGCAAGAGATAGAAAGAGAAATCCCATTTAAACTTACTGTAGACATTATAAAATATTTAGGAGTCTACCTCCCAAAAAACCCAGGAACTCTATGAACACAATTACAAAACACTTTTCACACAAATAAAATCAGATCTAAATAATTGGAAAAAATCAGTTGCTCATGGGTAGGCGCAGAGCTAATATAATAAAAATGACAATCCTACCTAAGCTAATTTACTTATTCAGTGCCATACCAATCAAACTACCAAAAATTATTTTATAGAGTTAGAAAAAATAATAACAAGATTCATTTGGAAAAACAAAAGGTCCAGAATATCAAAGGAACTAATGAAAAGAAATGCAGGGGAAGGTGGCCTAGCAATTCCAGATCTTAAATTGTATTATAAAGCAGCAATCATCAAAACTGCTTGGTACTGGCTAAGAAATAGGGAGGTGGATCAGTGGAATAGGTTAAATATGCAAGACACAGTAGTCAATGACTATAGTAATCTATTATTTGATAAACCCAAAGACCCCAGCTTCTGGGATAAGAACCCACTCTTTGAAAAAAACTGCTGGGAAAACTGGAAAAGAGTATGGCAGAAACTAGGCATAGACCCAAATCTCACACCATATACCAAAATAAAGTCAAAATGGGTTCATGACTTAGATATAAAGGCTGATACCATAAGTAAACTGGGAGAACAAGGAATAGTTTACCTATCAGATCTATGGAGAACAGAAGAATTCATGACCAAACAGGAGATAGAGAACATTATGAAAAGCAAAATGGATAATTTTGATTACATTAAATTGAAAAGTTTTTGCACAAACAAAGCCAATGCAACTAAGATTAGAAGGAAGGTAGAAAATTGGGAAAGAATTTTTACAACCAGTCTCTCTGATAAAGGCCTCATTTCTAAAATATATAGAGAATTAAGACAAATTTATAAGAACACAAGCCATTCCCCAATTGATAAATGGTCAAAGGATATGAACAGACAGTTCTCAGATGAAGAAATTAAAGCCATCTATAGTCATATGAAAAAATGCTCTAAATGGTTATTGATTAGAGAAATGCAAATCAAAACAACTCTGAGGTACCACATCACACCTATCAGATTGGCCAACATGACAAAACAGGAAAATGATAAATGTTGGAGAAGATGTGGGAAAATTGGAACAGCAATACATTGTTGGTGGAGTTGTGAACTGATCCAACCGTTTTGGAGAAAAATTTGGAACTATGCCCAAAGGGCTACAAAAATGTGCATACCCTTTGATCCAGCAATAGCACTTCTAGGGCTATATCCCAAAGAGACCAAACAAATGGGAAAAGGACCCACATGTACAAAAATATTCATAGCAGCTCTTTTTGTGTGGTGGAAAAGAATTGGAAATTGAGAGGATGCCCATCATATTGGGGAATGGCCGAGCAAGTTGTGGTATATGAATGTAATGGAATACTATTGTGCTATAAGAAATGATGAACAGGCTGACTTCAGAAAAACCTGGAAAGACTTATATGGTCTGATGCTGAGTGAAGTGAGCAGAACCAAGAGGACTTTGTACACAATAACAGCCATGTTATGCAATGACTAAGATTGTTAAACTGAACCCTTCTCAGCATTACGAGGATCTAAGACATCTCCAGAGGTCTCGGGATGGAAAATGCTGTCCACATCCAAAGAAAGAACTATGGAAGTCGAATTGCTATCACTTATTTTTACCTTCTGTTGAGTTTTGTTTCATCTTTCTGATGGTTCCTCCTATTGGTTTTAATTTTTACCTACAACTTCACTAATGTGAAAATATGTTTAATGTGTATGTAAATGTAAAGCCTATATCAGATTGTGCGCTGCCTTGGGGAGGGTGGGGGGGAGGAAGGGGGAGAAAAATTTTCAACCTAAAAGCATATGGAAGTGATTGTTGATAAATCAAAAAAAATTAATAAAATTTCTTTAAAAATTTAAAAAAAAAAGAATTTCTGCTTTGCAGGAACTGCATTTCTTCATTGCTTTCTTTGGGTTTAAAAATGTTATCCTCATAGTATTTGTTCATCACAGCCTGGCTGCAAGTGATTCAGTCGGCATGGGCAATGCCACTGTTTATAGCCTGTGTTATGTCATCTGCACTTACCAGGGCTCTGGGATTCTTGCTTTATTCTACAGTTATCATTGCTCCCAGCCAGCATCAGCGAAGCTCAAAATCGGGTAATAGAAGAGGTTCATAGCCTGAATTTTGTGAAGGACAACAGTGCGACTTTTATCGAACGGAAGCTAAGCTTTGAAAAGAAGAAACCTGTGCCCACTCTGGTGAGTTTGGCATGGCCAGTGATGACTGCTGGCAGGACTTCCCAGAATTCATGTCTTCTTCGAAGCACAAAGCTTTGGGGCCAGTATTTATACATGTTCATATGTAGGTGTTTGCATGTTGTCCAGCCCAGTAGCTTGTGTGCTCCTTGAGGCCAGGAACTGTCTTTTGCCTCTTTGTGTGGTCCTAGCACTAGGCACAATGCCTGGCACATAGTAGGTGCTTAATGAATGCTATAAAATCTTAGGGCTGGAAGGGGCCTCAGAAATCACGTGTCCACACCACTCGACCTTACCCCAACCCACCTCCAGGCAGAGAATGATGGTTTACATCTTCTCCCAGATCTCCAAAAAAGATTTACAGAATCAAAAGTCCAGAGTTGTAAGGAATCTCAGAGATCATCTAATCCAAGCTAAACCGGAACAAAAACTCTCCCTCTGTTATATATGACAAGTCGTTATCCATCCTTGGCTTGAAGATCTCCAGTGAGACATCCCATTCAATAATTTAGTTTTTTTTAAATTTTGACTTTTTAAAAATTTATCTATATATTTTATTTTCTTATCGCCTTTTCCCCAAACTATATCCTTCCTTTCTGCCCCATAAGGCATCCTTTACAACAAAGGATAAAAACAAAGGCGGGGAAAGCAATTTAACAAAGCTAAATAACACATCAACCTACTCTGACTGTATGGCCCCCTACCTACAAAAGAGGGAAAGAAGCATGCACTATTTTTGATAATGCTTTATTAATGCATTCCAAAAACTACTGCTTTCACTTTCAAATGACTCTCCCCATCCCAACCAATAGAACCTTCCTTTGCAACAGCCAAGTATGGAGTAGCAAAATAAAAGCCATGCTTGACCATGGACATCTCACACCTAAAGTCTATAGACCTATTATAGACCTAAAGTCTATTGGATGAGAGGTGTAAACCATCTACCCAGCATCCATTTCCATGGTTTCCCACAAAGATGCATTTCTCTACTCCCTTCTTCCCAGTCGGAGATGCCCCGTCAGACGGAAAACCACCGCTCCCAGCTTCTAGCATCTTACAGCCTGGAGGCTCTCTACCAAGCAAAGCGCAGGTGTAATGCTACACAGGAACATGACATTGACCTTCTGGAAGGCGACCTGGTGGCTGCCATTGAGCAGAAGGATCCCTTGGGCAGCACAAGCAGGTGGCTGGTTGACACTGGAAGTGAGTATCATACAGGAGATGCCCCCCAAAAGGACAGTGGAAAAAGAACTAAGTTGTAAATCTTATCTCTGATGCTTACTCTCTGAGCGACCTTGAACAAGTCATTTAACCTGTGTGAGCCTTAGTTTCCTCATTTGTGAAATGAGGGAATTGAACTAGACGGCTTCTGAGGTCTGCTTCCAGTTATTGATCCAGGATTCTTTAAAGCTGAGGTCTTTCTCAGGGCATATGTTTGGGGAAGGAGGAGCCCTTTCAAAATGTCCTTTTTCTTTTCTTTCCTTTCTGTCTAGTCGCAAAAGGCTATGTCTACTCGTCCTTCCTGAAGCCCTACAATCCAGCCAAGCTGCACCAGGCAGATGGGGAGCACAGGTTCTGTGAGGAGGACTTTGATAACATCAGCCTTTTTGTGTCTTCGTGGCCTGCCAGCCACAGCATCCCACAAACCCGGGAAGAGAGCGTGAGTGACAGCAGCTCCTCTCTCAACGGCGTATGTGGAAAACCTGAAGCCAATGAGGCTGACACTGACTCTATCCAGGATGGAGATGAGCAGGTAAGAATTTGTCCCTTTAAACCACCGGCAGCGGGGGGGGGGGGGGGTGGTAGTGGGGTGTAGCTGGATGGCGCAGGGGATAGAGCACTGGCCCTGGATTCAGGAAGACCTGAGTTCAAATTTGGCCTCAGACGCTTGACACTTACTAGCTGTGTGACCCTGTGAGAGTCACTTCACCCTATTGCCTCGAAAAAGAAAACAAACAAACAAAACCATCAGCAGGCTATTCGGAATATGAAAGCTATTGCCCTCCATTGACCTTCTGCTACAATCCATCCAGGGTGATACAGCCTTCCAAAAGCAAGGAAGGAAGCCCTAGCTACTTTACAAATATGATCTCACTTTATCCTCACAATAGCCCTGTGAGGTAGGTGCTATTATTGTCCTCATTCTGCAGTTGAGGAAACAGAGGCAGACAGAGGTTAAGTGACTTGCCCAGGGTCACATAGCTAATAAATGTCTGAGGCTGGATTTGAACTCAGGTTTTCCTGACACAGCAATCCACCCATTGCACCACCTGGCTACAGTCACGAACATTTCTACGATTTTGTCATCTTTTGGTTCTTAGCTTTTTTCATTTTTAGTACCACATGTCCTGTCCTCTCCACCCGATACAAGCGATCTAGTTCTGAACAGATTGCCCCCAGACACTAGGGAATATAACCTAATTCCCAAAAGAACAACATCTTCGTTAATGTCACTGGCAGCGGCCAGTCTTGAAGCCTACTGTAAAAATGAAACTCCCTGACATGACAGCAAAGAGACTGTGGTCTAAACCCCCGTGCAGAAGAACAAGTCAGACTTTAGGCTGTGACCTTCTGTTACCTCTTGGCAAAGAACTGGATGTAAGACAGATGTCCAGATGATGGACATTAGACTTAGATCTTAGATCTGGAAGAGGCCTGAGAGATCCACCTGTCTAACACTCTCCTTCTAGATCACAGAAATCATCCTTGATTGGCCAATAGTCAGATGAACTTTGAAGTACAGAGAGGTTAAAGTCACATAGCTAGCAAGTGGCTGATCTGTCTCTCTGCTCTGTCCTGAGACTGTACCACATGACCTTGTCTGATTATTGACAAATCAAGGATGGTTTTTTTTCAATTAAGAAAAATCAACTTTCTTTTATTCCTACCTTCTCCTATTGAAGAAGAAAAATAAAAAACAAAATCCTTGTTTTTATATATGATATATAAACACATATTACATATGTATGTATATAAAACATATATGTTACATATATATGGTAAATGGAAGTCAATCCCAGAAAGACGAGATAAATATGCATAGCCAGGCAAAACAAATTCCCTCATTGACCAGGTCCAAAAAAATATATGTCTTATTCTGCACCCTGAGTCCATCAGCTCTCTATCAGCATGCTTTATCACGAGTCCTCTGGAAACATTGGTTGGTTATTGCATTGATCAGAGTTCTCAAGTCTTTTCAAGTTTGATCAAGCTTGCTTCTTAACCAGCCTGGCTGATTAAAATGCATGATCTTCAGCTGACTGTCTCTTTTACACCATCTTTTGCTCTCTTAGTTTTGGTCAGAGATACTAGAAAGCAGTGTCGAATTATGGAGTGAGCTAATTTTACAGCTATTAAAAGACGAGGCACGTATTTCTGAGACAATATGCAAATATGCATTCACTTAACCCCACTGTGAAATTCCAGACGTGACCATGGAGGGGTCAGGGTTCATTCTACAGAGCTTCTGTTAAAGCCAGACAGAGATCTGGTTCTGGATGGTACCCCCAGGTCAAAGAACATGTCTAAACTCTTTCATGTTGAGATCTTTGGGGCAATGAAAATAGTTCCCTCCTGAGTAGTCTTGTCAATATATACCATTTGATCAGGAGGACCTGAGTTCAAATGCAACCTCAGACATATAACACTTACTAGCTGTATGACTCTGGGCAAGTCACTTAACCCCAACTGCCTCACCAAAAAAAAAAAGTTAAAAATGAAGATTAAATAAAATATATATATACACACACATATATACCATTTGAATTAAGTTACAATTTTTTTTCTCCTTTGTTCATAACATGAAATGCACAGTTTACCGTTATTAGCAAATAGATATTCTATGAGATTTCAGATTTTGAAAGTGGACAAAACAATAACAACGATTACAATCACAACAATTAGCATTTATATAGCCCTTTACAGTTAGTAAAGCACTGTCCATATATTTTTTTCATCTAATCCTAACAACAACTCTTTGAAGTAAGTAGGCATGATTATTAACCTCATTTTATGGTGAAAAAACTACGGCTAAGGGAATTAAGAGATTTTCCGAGGCATAGATAGCTAGCAAATATTTGAGAAAGGATTTTAACTCAGGTCTTCTTGACTCCAAGTCTAGAACTTCTGCCACTCTACCACCTGTCTAGGTTTACTATAGTATCACATTGATTCATTCAAAATTATTTTATGACCATAATGATCATTGAAAGCAATAGATAGCACTTTAAGGTTTATAGCATGCATTACATGTGTTACCTCATTTGATCTCATAACAACCCTGTGTGGTAGGTGCTAATATTATGCTTATTTTGCAGATGGGAAAGCTGATAGAGGCTAATTAAGTTGTCCAGGGACATGTAGTTAGTATCTTGGGCAAGATTTGAACTCAGGTCTTTGTGACTGTTCAGCATTCTGTCTAGTACACCCCTTATCTGGACTAATTGTAACATTATGTTATACTTTAGTTGTTTCAGTTGGGTCCGACTCTTTGTGACCCCACTTGGGGTTTTCTTGGTAAAGCTATTGCAGTGGTTTGCCATTTCCTTTCTGGCTCCTTATATGGATGAGAAAACCTTGACAAACAGGGTTAAGTAACTTAGCTAGACACACAGCTAGAAAATGTCTGAGGCCAGATTTGAACTCATGAAGATGAGTCTTCCTGACTATGCACTGTGGCGCCACCTAGCTGCCCCCAGTTGTAACATCAAAAAGTACTTATTAAGCATCATCTTCCCAAAGTACTAGTTGTAGTACAGATGTGAAACTAGGCTGTTGAAGGTCATTGGTGGGAAACATCTGGCAGGCTCCAAGTATAGTTCTGGAAACAGACTATATTTACTTAGCCTAGCTAAGTATGGAGAGGCTCATTCAATTATAGGCTGACCACTCGAAGAGGATGAATTCCTTTTCTATGAAACCCATGAAATGAAGAAAAATAGAAGATGACCCTCAGTCCTAAATGTCCCTTTTCCACTTCTGAAGGGACAGCATGTCATCATAGTGAAAAAGAGCAGAATCTGCAAAGAATCACACAAATTTTTACTGTCTATTAATATTAACCTGGCCATTGGTCCTTTAGAGGTAGTGCAGTGCAGTGGAGAGGAGCTAGCCTTGACTCAGGAACACCTGAGTCCGCAAATCCTATTACTTAAAAATACTGCCTACATCACCCACGGGCAAGAGGCACAACTTCTCAATGTTCTAGAAGACTCCCTAAGACTATGTATTGCAGAGGAGTTGACTTGCTTTGGTAGGAATTTTCTCATCTGAGTGTTTTCCACACCAACGAAATAATAGAACTAGGTCCTAACGCCATCAGTATTTCGGTCAGTCAGTCAACAAGCATTGATTATTCAAACATGCTAAGTGCTAGGAAAAGCAAGAATTGCAAAAGCACTATATACATACATATATATACATATATATATATATACATATATGTGTGTGTGTGTATGTATTTATATATATATATGTGTATATGGAGAGACACAGACAGAGACAGAGAGAAATAGAGAGAGAGAGAGAGAGAGAGAGAGAAAGAGAGAGAGAGAGAGAGAGAGAGAGAGAGAGAGAGAGAGAGAGAGAGAGAGAGACTAAATGAAAGGAAGCCTCAGAGGGCAGGGATTAAATTGTCCAGGGGCCAACAAACAGGTATCCTACTGGAGGAACTGAATCGTATCGGTCTTGACACTCTTTTTATAAAGAAAACTATAGCACCCAAGAAGGTCACAGTTAAATGGAAGTGTAGCTCACAGTTTCTCTATGGAAAGTAAAAAAAAAAAAAAGGAGGTGGTAGAATTGGTTTGGTCATGCATTCCAAGAAATAAAGAAACATAATTTCATGGGACATTTGTTCACCTTATATTTCAGTGCTCGTGATAGCTATTTGCAAAACTGTCCCCATGAAAATGATCATAGCCTATGCATGCATCCACATTTGTTGAGAGGATGAAGAGGTAGGAAAATTCCATGGAGAAATCTGAAAAAAAGCTCTTCAAATTAAATCCACTCTGTGACTTTAACGCAATGGCAGATATAGAGGAAGATGGGGGTGGGGGGGGGAATGCACTGGAAGATGTGGTTCAAGAATAAAAAATAAGAGTTCAAAGTCTAGAAAAGCCCCGTCTATGTTTCGTGAATGAGAAGTTAGTGGTGCAATGGATAGAGTGCAGGGCTTAGAGTCAGGAGGACATGAGCTCAAATTTGGTCTCAGACACTTACTAGCTGTGTGACCCTGGGCAAGTTACCTCACCCTGTTTGCCTCAGTTTTTTCATCTGTAAAATGAGCTGGAGGAGGAAATGGCAAACTACTCTAGTAGTTTGCCAAGAAAATCCTAAATGGGGTCAGGAAGAGTCAAAGATAACTGGAAAAACTGAACAATAGCAAAATGCATCATGAATATTTGATTCATTAAAAGATTTGAGAGATTCTAGAGTTGGGGAGCACAGATAACAAAACAAAAAATGAAACTGATTTTATTTTAATTAACAGGAACTGATTTCACTAGGCTACAAGCCCCTTAAGAACAAGGACTGGTTTTATTGCCTTTCTATCACAAATGCTTAGAACCATACTGGGCACATCATATAATAATGCTTAATAAATGCTTAATGACTTGACATATTAACTCATTATTAATGTGGCAGTCATTCTCAGATAGTAGGGGATCACCTTGCTGCCGCTGATAAATTCAAGATATCTGACTCAGATTAACTACATGTTCAGGAAACAGGGATTGACAGATGTGATGG